CTGTGCTGTGGAGGCACCGTGCCTGGGTCCACAGCCCCTTCTAAGTCTGAACAAATCACTCCTCTAGCGCCAGTTCTCTCCCTGGGGGTTCCTCTCTTTACTCCTCTGCCGAGACCAGTTCTGATGTCCCTCAATTGTCCCCAGGACTGGGGACACGGGAATGTGAGATAGCCTTCATTGCCTCTCCATGAAAGGCAAGTCCCTCCCTCCTTTCCCCTACCTCACCCCTTGCTTTCCACATGGGGAAGGGGGAGGGGAAGGAGAGGCAGTGAGCCTTTCCTGGGAGCCTGTGTCAGAGAGGCACAAGGAAGGTGGGGAGACAGCTTCCTGGCTGGCGCAGGAGACTCCTGGCAGACCAGGGCAGAGGCAGGCGATGGGTTAGAGCAGGTGCTGGCCTCAGGCTCGCCATGACCAGGCCTAGGCCTAGGAGATAGCGCATAGGTAAGCCCAGCATTGAGGATTCACCAGAGCAACCCTGCCTGGCTCAGCGTGGGGGAGAGGCTTGGTTTGGTGCTCCTGGCCATTTGCATTTCCCTCCCTTCCTTGCTGTAGCTCTGAAGCAAGTGGCTGCCCTTCTCTGAGCCTCAGCCTCTCCACACGGTGAGGGCTGTGGACTACAGCCTGAGAGTAAGGAGACAAGCCAGGTCTCCACCACCACCGCTCCTTAGAGTCTAGGATGCTATGGTCCAGATAAAGGGCTGGGCCAGGTCCAGGACCGAGGTGAACCAGGGAAGGTGGCCGCCAGCTTCTGGAACTCGGTCTTTGGAGCTTTCCCACGTGGCAGTCTGGGGAGGGAGCAGGTATTGTGGCCAGAGAGGCCTCCGTGGAGCTGCACAGCTGGACCTGAGCCAGCCAGCGCCAGTCACCAGGCAGTCACCCAGGAGTCAGCAGGACGTGCTGGTGCCAAAGCCAGACATCAATCAGCAAGAGCTGCCAACTCTGCCACCACCTCAGAACGTTTCTCCCCCTCTCTCCCAAGGGTATGGATTTTAAAACTCAATAGACCTGCACCAGCACTCGAGGGTGGGGATTCTAGGGCCTTGAGAAAAGACTGCAAGGGCAGCCTGGAGCTGGGCTGAGCTTTTGGGGTTACATACGGACCCTGGCTCTCGGGAAGGGACAGCTTTCAGCTTGCTCTAGGGTTCAAAGAGAAAACAGAAAACGCCTGGGAAATCTTATTCCCTTTATTCTCTTCTACTAATCAACATGACCACCAGTGACACAACACTGTTATTGACACACAACACTCAAAAGTGGGGCCTCTCTTCACTCCAGGGGCACAAGTAAGGTGAGGGGCTTCCCTAATGAGGGCAAAGGAGTTTGGGGCTGCTCACCTCAGGGGCAGGTGCCATGGAACCCCCTCTCGGTGATGGTTTCAAGTTTCCCCATCATTCGGGATTCATGCCCAGTTCTTTCGAGTTCCCTTCTGACCTCCATATCCATAGCAGTTTCAAGTTTCACCCTAAGCTCAGATCAGTTTCTATTCTTCCCTCTGCGTTCACCAATGACTCTGTGACCCTAGCTGCTGGGCTCCTCAGTGGGGCACTTCTGAAGAGTCAGGCCTGCGTGGAGTTGGACAAGAGGCCTTCCAGGGCGATCCGGGCCTCTGCCTGAGCTGGTCAGAGGGACTCTGGACATTGCCACCTCCCCAACCAACCCCTGCTTAGTTCCTCCCCAGATGTAACTTGTTCTGGGAGAGGAGCACCTGGCTTAAGGAGTTTGGGGAAGTGGGCAACAGAGAACAGGTCATACCCCAAAGGTCTCTGACTCTGCCCCTTTCCTGCTACAAAACCCCAGACCCCAACTCATCGAATCCACATCATCCATTGAAGTACCGGAGCCTCAACTCCTGGCCCTAACCCGTCCCTACAACATGCGAGCATCCCACTACATATGCTACACCCAGGTCCTCGACAGGCCCGCAGCCGGCCTTTGACCACACTGACCACCTCCCCCTGGACTGGCCCCCGAACTCCGAAGGCTGCTCCCCAGGACTCTCCTGGAGACAGATTTCTCAGACGGTTTTGGGGGTTCTGCTTCTACCTTTAAAGGGGGTTTGTCTCCCACTGGAGTTTCTTTCTGCTACCATCTTAGAGGGAAAAGAATCTGCTTGGACGTGGAGGACTGTGTCCTGTCCTGTCTCACGGGATGCGCCCTTTGTGGAGGCTTCTGTTGGCAGAGCTTCTGCAGGCAGGCTCCTCCCCTCAGTAGTGCTTTCCAACCTTGCACTTGGGTCGGGTGGGACTTCAATGCAGATGGCAGGAAGGGTCTCCCCACAATCATGCCATGCCTGCCTTCTCCTCCCAGCAGGCCTGGCCTTTTCCTCCTAGTGTTCTAGATTTTGATCCTTTGAATTTGAGGGTTATCCTTTGGGGGGCAGGGGAGATGAGAGGTGGACTTTCACCTTTTGAACTTCAGGTAATGAAATGAGACGTCTCTTCCGCAGCTTTGTAGGATTCCAGGTCACCCTCTCAGGGACGTGACTCCTGAAGGGGCCACCTCTCCTGGCACGTTGGCTCTTACTCCAGGACCACAGTGCATTACTGGGGTCAGGGGGCACTTCCTTCGGACCCAGCACTGGATGGTGTCTCCAAGGTTAGGGGATGGGTTCTTGTTACAGATGTTTCAAGAGTTTTCTCCAACCATTTCAGAGGGCAACAGTCTCTCCCCTGCCGCATCCATCCAGTCATGTTCGCAGGTCTGGCTGGGTTACTGAAAGCGGGTCACTGTGTGTGGTGTGTGAGAACAGGAGACGGGTCTGGCAGGGGTGTGGCTCTCATCTTTCCGTTTCCCTCTGAAGGTTTCTGACTGAGGAGGAGAGGAGTCAAGTAGGTGGAATCCCTTCCCAAGACCACAATCCGGCTGGGTTGTCACTTTAGAGGGCTCCAGGTATGGGGCGAGGAAGGTGGTCAGGCCTCCATATACTCTTCTGTGGGGTGTTTGGACACGCATCACTGTACAGGCTGGCTTATCCTGCCAGCAGCCTTGCTATCAGCTCAGAGGAGAGAGTGAGGTTTAAGAGCAGATCGCTGACCAATCAAATCTCTCTATTCTCTTAACTTGCTGTCTCTCGTTGCCAGAGAACTACCAGAGCTCCCGCTGACTTGCAGAAGAGCACGCTCCAGAGGATTTATGCGCACACAGGCCTTGAGTCTCCCAAGGGGAAGGGCTTTATTCTTTGGAGGTCAACTAGCAGCAGTTCTCCCTCTTCACTGAGGACAGAATTCAAGGAAACGGGCTGCCACTGCAGTGACAAGGGTGGCAGTTAGAGTTCAGGAGGAACCTCCTGTCAGTGAGACCTGAGATGTAAGCAGGAGGGACCCTCCATTCCTGGAGGCCTCTCAGAACAGAAGCCCCCAGGAAAGGGGTGTCCTGCCTGGCTGGGGAGGACCCTGGCGGCCTGGCTGGGGAGGACCCTGGCGGCCTGGCTGGGGAGGACCCTGGCGGCCTGGCTGGGGAGGACCCTGGCGGCCTGGCTGGGGAGGACCCTGGCGGCCTGGCTGGGGTCTGCTTGCACTTGCAGCTTAACAAGCTCCCAGGAACGGGGAAGGCAGCCGGGAGTTAGCTGGGTTCCGTCTGAACAGTTTCTCCACTGGGTTTCCTTCCCTCAAAGCACTCTCACAGAATCCCCTGACTCTTCCCCCTAAAATTTTGTGGTGGTTCCCCAGTATTCTTACACTTAAAGTTATATGCACCCCAAACTTCAGCCTTTAAAAGGCTCAACGTCGCATTTTTTTCCTTCCCCATTTTTGGCTTCTTTCTGCTAAGGAATTCCATGGGCCTGTACCTCTTCACACACAATCTGTCTAGGATTGGCCTTGTACCCCCAGGAACCCCCAGTGCAATGAGCTGGACTTTCTTGTCCTAGTTCCTGGGTCATTTCTCCTCTGTGGATCTGGGGGCTCTTCATCACTTATTTTTGTCCTGTCTTTGTTTTCTTCCTTTTCCAATTCCCACATTTTACTCAGGGTAACTGTCCAAGGCTTCTGGGAAGGAGCCCCCTCCCACATGCCAGGAGAGAGAACACTGCTGAACAAGTTCACGGGAGGTTCTTTCACACCTTCTGAGGGTCCCTGCTCCCAAGTCAATGCCATTGCTATAGTCCCTGCGTTTCCCCGACCCTACAGTTTTACAAGGATTTCAGTACAGTTTTCTAGGGTTGTCTAGAGACATACGGGACCTCATCCTACAATTAATAGGGCTTTTATCCACTATAGTTTATAGGGATCTTCTGCTACAGACTTAAAGGGCTTTTTTCCTACATATTTATAGGGTTTCTAACCCAACGGTTTTTCTCTACTGCATTATAAGTGGTTCCCACCAACAATTTATAGGGTTTCTTACCACTGATAGAAAAGCACTATTTTTACCCGGGGTCCTTTATCCTCCACACGTCTACAATCTGATAGGGTTTTCTTTCTTTTCTCGTACAATATTTGGGGAGATCTAGTGTTCCTCTCAGGAGAGAGAGGCCCCGGCCTCCAGACCCATTTCACGGGGCAACCCCTGGGTGGCAGCTCCTATGGAGGAGGAGGGCTGCGACCTCGGTGAAGCCATCTCCACACTCGGGGCACAGATAGGGCTTTTCTTCCAAGAGAGTTTTGGGGGTTTCCCCTTCCCCAGGGCTGCTGCTCCCTGCGGGTGCGGGGGCCTCCCTTTCACCTTCCTGGCTTGGGGGTGGGGTGTCTGGCTCTGGAAGGGGGTCTTCCGGTCTGGGGGACTTTTCTTGGGTGTGTGTCTCCTGGTGCCGGATGAGGGCCAGGCGATCCAGGAAGGAGGCCCCACAATCTGAGCAGCTGTAGGGTCTGGCCCCCAGGGGGCTCCTGAGGTGCTCCAGGAGGACGGAGGAGCTCTTGCCCAGCTCTGGACTCTTCTGCGTTTTCCCACCTGCATGGACTTTCTGGTGCAGCAGCAGCTCAGAGCTGAGCCCAAAGCTTTTTTTGCACTCAGGGCATTTAAAGGGCTTTCCACTTAGGAAGGGACTGGGCCCTGCCCCTTCTGCTAAGCCAATCCTATAATCAGGAAAGAGAAGGGGCTTCTCGTTGCCGTGGGTGAGCTGGTGTTGGAGGAGCACAGCCCGATCCAGAAAGCTTTCCCCACAGTGGGAGCAGATGTAGGACTTGGAGGAGAGCAGGCCCAGCCTTTGGCTGAAGCCCTCCTGCCCCTCGGGCACTTTAAGGGGCGGTCCTAGGGCGTCAGCTCTGCCCTCGGAAGCACCTGGGTAGGAATTGCCCCCAAAAGGGAGCCTGGGAGGTCGGAGCTGAGGAGGCTTGGGGGCTGGGTGTGCGGCGAGGCCGTCGGAATTTCTGTAGGGGTTTTCTCCGATGTGGACCCTCTGGTGCTGCATGAAAATGCCCTCGTCGTTGAACCCCTTTCCGCAGACAAGACACTTGTGTGGTTTGGCTCCAGGGGGCGGGGTGAGCAGGGCGGGGTCCCCGAGCCCCAGCAGCGAGTCGCCCTGCGCTCTCCGGGCCGGCGTCTTCCCTCTTTCGTGGATCACCCGGTGCTGCTCCAGCTCATGGGCCTCCAGGAAGGCCTTCCCGCAGTCGGAGCACACGAACAGGTTCTCGTCCATGTGGGTGCGCACGTGCGTGATGAGGTTAGAGCTCTGGCTGAAGCTCTTGCCGCACTCGGGGCACTTGTAGGGCTTCTCGCCCGTGTGGGTGCGACGGTGCTGGATGAGGTGGGAGCTGCGGATGAAGCTCTTGCCGCAGTCGGAGCACTTGTAGGGCTTCTCGCCCGTGTGGATGCGCTGGTGGCGGATGAGCGTGGAGCTCATGATGAAGCTCTTGCCGCAGTCGGCGCAGATGTAGGGCCGCTCCCCGCGGTGGATGCGCTGGTGGTTGATGAGGTTGGAGCTGACGCTGAAGCTCTTGCCGCACTCGGGGCACTTGTAGGGCCGCTCGCCCGTGTGCGTGCGCTGGTGCCGCAGCAGCGTGGCGCTCAGCGTGAAGGTCTTGCCGCAGACCGGGCACTTGAAGGGGTCCTCGCGCAGGTGGGTCCGCTGGTGCTTGATGAGGGTGGAGCTGTGGCCGAAGCTCTTGCCGCACTCGAGGCACTCGTAGGGCTTCTCGCCGGTGTGCGTGCGCTGGTGCTGGGTCAGCTCCGAGCTCTGGATGAAGCTCTTGCCGCACTCCGTGCAGCGGTACGGCTTCTCGCCCGCGTGGATCTTCTGGTGCTTGAGGAGGTTGTGGTTCTGGCCGAAGCGCTTGCCGCACTCGGGGCACTTGTAGGGCTTCTCGCCGGTGTGCGTGGCCTGGTGCTGGATGAGGTCGGAGCTGCGGTAGAAGGCGCGCCGGCACTCGCCGCACTTGTACGGCTTCTCGCCCGTGTGCGAGCGCTGGTGCTTGATGAGGTTGGTGCTCTGGGTGAAGGCCTTCTCGCACTCGGTGCACTTGTAGGGCTTCTCGCCCGTGTGCGTGCGCTGGTGCTGCACCAGGTTGGAGCTCCAGCTGAAGCACTTGCCGCAGTCCGGGCACTTGTAGGGCTTCTCGCCCGTGTGCGTGCGCTGGTGCTGCACCAGGTGCGAGCTCTGCGTGAAGCTCTTGCCGCACTCGGAGCAGGTGTTGGGGCGCTCGCCCGTGTGGATGCGCTGGTGCCGCAGCAGCTTGGACCACTGGCTGAAGCTCTTGCCGCACTCGTTGCAGATATAGGGCTTCTCGGCCCCGGAGGGGCGGCCTTGCACCAGCTCCCGCAGGCTGGACTCATTGGCAGGGACCACCGGGGGGCTGTTCCAGGTGGTCAGGGTCCCCCACTGCCAACTGGCCTCACAGGCCTTGGTCCAGTCAGACGGGGTAGGGACTACCTCCGGGGTTGGGGGGTCAAGAGGAGTCTGGTGTCACAGGACACGGGGGTGACCAGGGGAGAGGGGGGTTCTTGGGGGGCTGAGGGGTCCTGGGAGGGTCTCTCCGGGGGCATCTCTGGTGGGTCCTTGAATTCTGGACTCTGAGCTGGATCGCCCAAGATGATCTCCTCCCCAGAACTTTCCTGCTGAGGGCTCTCCTCTTCGTTCCCACTCTCGGCACCTACAGAGAGAAAGGGAGTCTCCAGCCCCCATCTCCTTTCAGAACGCGGGGTCGTCTCTCTCCCCGCCCCTGGGCTTCCCCCAGAGTCTGGGCCCTCCCTGAACTGGGGCCGCTGTCTTGTCAGGACTGCCGTCCCTTCTTGTGCCCCTCACCTCTGTGAGCATCGCTGGGGCTCCCTTCAGGACCCCGCAGATCCGGGCCCCACAGCACTGCTTCGGGCTCCATCCCGGAGCTCAGGGCCGATCCAGGGACCCTGGGGAGAGAGGAGCACATGATGGGAGCTATCTCCCGCGTTTTTTTTTTTTTTACTCCAGACTTGCCCATCCCCCCAGCTCTCATGCCTCCTTATGTAAACTTCAGGTCCTACCAAGCCGTTTTTCAGGGCATTAGTTTTCACTGTGCCTACCCACACCACCCCCACAGGCCCGATTCCTGATCCAGATCTCAAGATCACCACTAAGCAAGGAGATGAATGTAAGAGTGTAATTAAAAGCTCATCAGTCATAACCCTTTGAACCCAGACTGGGGGCTGGAGACGTATCTGACACCCACAGGGGAGGTGGCTCTCACCCCACCCCTATGATGCCCAGGGGCTGGGAAACCTGTTATTTTGCTAATCAGAAGAAGCTCATTAAGGCTCTAATTTCCCTCCTTAATGGGGCTGCTAATTGGGACCAATAAACTTTCCTTAAGAGCCTCACAGAGAACTGAGACGCCTGGAACACGTAAGGAGTTAAAAAAAAAAAGAGAGACCACTCTGACTTTCCTGAGGCGACAGGAAGGGGGAACTGGGGCACGTCCCCCGTTATCCACGCACAGAAAGGTCCGGCCAGGTTAAGGGGAGGGGGCGTTTTAGAGCCACCAGCGGCTCGTGCAGGAATGACCTTGAGAGGGACATGGAAAGGGAAAGCGAGAAGGGAGCCGTGTGAGGACCACCTGCGGCTGCCACAGGCCTGTGTGGTGTCCTCGTTATCTTGCCCGATCTTCCCCACAAGCCCCTGAGGAGACTCAGGAATCAGATCGTCCATTTCACAGATTAGGAAAGCAGCCCTCGGGGAGATTCTCCGAGGCCACAGGCTGGGAAGGGGCAGAGACCAGCAATGCAAGGCTCTGTGTCTGGCTCTCCCAGCGTCTGAGAGGAAGATGACCTTGGAGTCACGTGAGACTCATAAACGTGGGCTGCTGGCAGGGCCGGGGATGAGAGCTCGGATGGAGACATTCCTGGGACCGAGGTCCTGGCTGTGACAGGAGGGGTTGGGGCCAGTGAGCCTGACAGTTTGCGCCTATAAACTCAAACAGTGCTCCCCAGGGAGGCCCCCCTGTCGGTCCCGTTCTGGGGCCCCTTCTATAGGTTCGCTCTGTATGGTCACTCCTGTACGCTGTGCCCCGACGATGCCTGACCCTGAGCAGGTGCGCAATACGTTCTGTTCAGTGACCGGAAACAGAGGAGAGGCCCTTGCTCCTGGACCTGTTTGCCCGATGCCTTTAAAGGTCAGTCTGCAAGGGGACCCCGCAAAGAAGCAGTGAGAGTGGCCTCCTGGGCAGACCTGCCAGCTCACCCCGAGCAGGTGCTGTGCGTGAGGGAGCAGGACCGGAGCTGTGCTCACTTCCCGCAGTGTGAGGCCTCGGGGGGTCCCAGGGGGAGCTTCTGGGATGGGTACCTGCTGTGGGGGCAGTGGTACCGGCAGGAGGAGGCCGCTGGGAGGTAACCCAGTGCAGCAGGAGCTAGAGGAGCCTGTTACGTAGCAGCAGGGGAGACAAGAGTTAGATTTTAGGAAGTGAATTAATTTCTTCATCTCTAGCTCCTTGGGCCATGGACCTCTCCCCTCCCCCGGCTAATGTCTCGGGAGGTGCAAGCAGGGGCTGCCTGTGCAGGAGGCCGGGGGTGCTGCGGGGGCAGGTGAGCCGGGCACCTGGACTGTGTCCACACATTCCAACTCGGCGGAGCAGAGTGGAGGGAAGGGGTTAACGACCAGGCCGCCATGAGTGTGGAAGTGGGGAGACCCAGGGAGCTAGTGCTTGGAGCAGACCTAGGCCCAGGCCCTGACCTCGGACCTCGGACCTCGAGCCGGTCCCACTGCGGAGGGAGGGAGGGAGGAAGGGAGGGGGGGAGGCGCCTTGCAGAGGCGAGGAGAGCGGCCCAGGGTGACCCTTCAGTGGCGGCGGCGGTGGGCACGGAGCCATCGCGGTCTCCGGCCCCCCACGGCCGCAGCCCGACCCTGGACTTGTGCTCCGGCTGGTCCCCGCCATCCTCCTTCGGCTCCCGGCTCCCGGCTCCGGGCAGGGGCACCCCGCCTCCCGGCCCGGGCTCCCCGCTGGCTCGCAGCCCCCCGCCCCGCCGGCGGTTCCCCCCAGATGCCCGCCCCTCCCCCACCCGGACCCCCCTCCTCCCGGAATCCTCGGCCCGGCCCCCGCCCGCCCGGCCCTCCTCTGCGACCAGGGCCCGGGGTCGGGCGCCGCCTGCTGCCATTGTTCACGGCGCTTTCCCGGCCGGGGCCGCCCCTCGGGAGCCCAGGGTCCCCCACTCACGGCGCTGGGGTCTGGGAAGGCGGCGGCGGGATCCGGCCCCGGGACTTAACCCCTTGGATGCCCGGCCCGGGGGGCGGCGGGCCGGCTGCCGGGGCGCCGGGGTCCTCCTCGAGGGGTGATCCCGGCTGAGGACCGGACCAGTTCAGGGTGACTGGGACGGAGCAGGAAGTGACCCCAGCTTCCCGGGTCCCTCTAGCCTGGAGTCGGAGCACCAGCTCTATGGGATTTAACCCTTCGCCTCCCGCGGCCCGGGACACGGCGCGGCCTGGGCGCGGGGCGGCGGGGACGAGGCCCCGGTGTCCGTCCCCGGCGGGAGCAGGCGGCCCGGGAGGCCCGGGGCCGGTGGGGGTCCCCGCATTCCTGGCCGCTCGCCATGTCGCCGGGCTCTGCCAGCCGCCGAGCAAGCGGATTGGTGGCTGCGGGTCCCCCGGGCGGCGGCCTTTGTTGGGACCCAGACCCGGAGATGGGCCCGGTCCTGGGCGGTGGGTGGGCGCAGGGGCTGGCGGGGAGGAGCTGGGAGAGGACCCTCTGGACTAGAAACGGTTTAAATGGAATAGAAGGTCGGGGCAGCAGGAGTTTGGGGACCAGCAGCCTGTGCCCTGGCCCCGCTCCGGCCACGTGCCGCCCGCAGGGAGGAAAGTCCGGGGGCCCCTGACCACCGAGGCCAAGGCCCTTTCCCCGCAGCTCAGGGGACACCCAGCTCCGAACAGAAGAAACCTTCACAAACCCGGGACGCGGTGGCCTCCCAGGCCCGGGTGATGGGGGCTCCCCGTTTTTATATCCTTCACCCCATGTCCTCACAGCCCCGGGGGCAGGACAGCACGTCACCCCGTTTCCCGGGAGAGGACCCCGCGGTGTGAGGAGGGGGTAGGTGCTGAGGGCCGAGCCGTAGGTCCAGTGGACACATTCGTATCCGGAGCCTGTAATTCCTGGGCACGTGGGAGCCAGGTGGGGAGACGCCAACGGGAACAGGAGTCAGGCTTTCTGGCCTCAGGAAGCTTGGAGTGTGTTACAGACACAGAGGGATCGCAGGGGAACAGAAAGGGCTGTCTGTGCCGGTGTGTGTGTGTGGGGGGGGGGGGGACCGGACTGTACGTCAGAAGTAGCTCCCTGAGCCTGCGTCTGGGTTCAGAGAGTGGCCACCAGCCTCCGCTCCGTCCGTCCGTCCGTCCGTGCCGCCTGCCTCCCTCCTCACCGGGCTTGTCTCCATCTTATCCCTGGCTCCCATCACCTCCGCTTCCTCACTCTCGCCTCAGGGCCTTTGCCCTCCAGGCCCCTGACCCGCCTCCGTTTCCCACAGCGCGCAGCACCCCTGGCAGGAGGTCTGTGTGTCCACCTGCCTCTGCCTGGCCGGACCGCGCACTCACATTCGTGTCGGCCCGCCAGGGCAGGGACGGGCCTCTGGTCCTCGCTGCTGCCTCCCAGCACCTAGGACAGTGCCTGCCCCGCGGTCAGTCGGCTGCTCGTGCAGGGACCGGAGCCAGGCACTGTCTCCATGCATCGCCCATCATCTGTCTCCGGGTCGGTCCCAGCAGGACCGACGGGCAAACTTGCTCAGAGCCCCCACTGCTGGCCTCCGCTGCACAGCCCCCTGCACGCCCAGGCACCCCCTCTCACCCCTCACTCCGCGAGGCAGGCGGGAGCAGGGCAGCTGGGGACCAGGGAGACTTGGGGCAGGTGCAGCCCTCGCTGTCTCTCCGGCGTCCGGGCTGTGAAAGCCCGGCCCGGCCCGGGACAGAGGGTCTAGAGGAGAGCTGGGCCTTGCAGGCTCACAGAGGAGTTTGATTTGGCCTTCGCTGTTTTGTTTTGTTTTAAACTGAGTTAATCGCCACATTTTAAAATCGGTACATTTCATACACACCCACATGCCCTACTTCTTTGGAAAAATGCAAAGATGTGGCAACATGACCCACTTTTTTTTTTTTTAATCCTCACCTAAGGATATTTTTCCGTTGATTTTTAGGGAGAGTGGAAGAGAGAGGGAAAGACCAAGAGAAACATCGATGTGAGAGAAACACATCCATTGGTTGCCTTCTGCACAAGCCCTGACCAGGCAGGGGAGGAGCCTGCAACCAAGGTACATGCCCTTGACTGGAATCGAACCCGGGACCCTTTGGTCCGCAGGTCGATGCTCTATCCACTGAGCCAAACAGCTTTTCACATGGCAGCAGGTGAGCACCTGACCAGTCTCACATGGAGGACCGGGTGCGTAGTGCTCCCTTCAGAGGGACTGGCTTTGCCGGCACCAGTCTCCGCACTCGTGGCCCCACGCATGGGGCTGGGGGGTGGTCTCGGTCCATCAGTGACCTTGCCCTGTTGGTGCTCCAACACCTTTAACTACAGGGATGGGTTCCGCACCCCGTGGTTTGTGTCCCAGGTGCAGAGCAACAAGGAGGTTGATGTCTTCTGACAGTTACACTGTGCGCCAGGCGCTGCTCCAAGGTTACACGTACAGTCGTGCGCCACAGAACAACGTTCATTCCATGATGGGTCGCATGTGACGGTGGTCCCGTGAGGTTATAACGGACTGAAAAATTCCTGTTGCCTAGTGACACTGCAGCCGCGGAAACGTCATGGTGCACGCATTGCTTATGTGTGTGCGGTGATGCTGGTGTGAACAAACCTGCTGCCTTGCCAGTCATGATAGTACAGCACGTACAGCCCTGGCCGGTGTGGCTCAGTGGATAGAGCCTGCAGACTGAAGGGTCCCGGGTTCAATTCCGGTCAAGGGCACATGCCTGGGTTGTGGGCTCGATCCCTAGCACGGGGCGTGCAGGAGGCAGCCAATCCATGATTCTCATCATTGATGTTTCTCTCTCCCTCTCCTTTCCTCTCTGAAATCAATAAAAGATATATATTTGTTGGGGTCCAACCCCAACAGGTCCAGGGATCCCCAAAGGTGTGGACGGAGTTGGCGAAGAATGAATGACATGGAAACTGGGTTCAGTTCATCAGCATAGCGAGGTTCTCCCTCCAGGATCTCCAGCCAAGTTCTGTGTACAGGTTCTCTTGCTAGGTTCTCCATCCAGCTTCTCCAGGTTCTCCAGCCAGGTTCAGTCACCAGGTTCTTTTGCCATGTTCTGTCTAGGTTCTCCAGTGAAGTTCTGTAGCCAGGTTCTGTCCAGGATCTTTTGCCATGTTCTCTGGCTAGGTTCTGGTTAGGATCTGATGAGGACCTGATGAGGATCTGATGAGGATGTGATGAGGATCTGATGTTTATTGTCTTGTTACATCCATATTTATACCAGCCGATTTTAATCCTGTCAATTTCTATTACAAAGGTTAGGGCATTTCTTATCTCCATTCCAGGGAGTAAAGATTATGTAGCTTAACTACCCGCCTGGCACTTAATTAAGGGGTTGTATCTCCTCCCTAACCTCAGGGAAAAATCCCTACCTGGGGAAACAACCTTTCTCGGAGAGGTGACCTTGGTTAAAACACATAGCGCCAAGAAGGTGAGCAAACATATTAAGAACAGTATGCCATATATTGATGTTTCTCTCTCCCTCTCCTTTCCTCTCTGAAATCAATAAAAGATATATTTTTTAGAAAGCATAGCACATACAATCATGTACAGTGCGTGGTGTTTAATGATAATGACTATATTACAGGTGTGTGCACTTACTGTGCTATGCTTTTATCATGATTTGAGACTGTGCTCTTCTACTTGTAAGCAAGGCTTGCTGAGTGACAGTGTGCCATGTCAGGCTGGCAGCCCCGTGCGCCCGTGTTCACCGCGCCATTTCCTCCTGTGCCTGCGTGAGTCCCGTGTTTTGTGCAGGAACGCGCTGTGCAGGTTGAAGCCAGGAGCAGGCTGTCCCACGGAGCCCAGTGTGGGTGGGCCGTGCCACGGCGGGGGTGTGGGTGCCCTGTATGATGCTCCCACACTGGCCGAACGCCTTCTCACACTGTATCCCTGTTGGGAAGCGGCGAATGACTGTAGTTCCTTGAAACTTCACAACTTGTGACACCAGTATTACTACAATCCCGAGGATGGAGTAAGTCACTTGTAAACCGTTCACTAGGGACAGAGCTGGACGCAAACCCAGGCGTGCTGACGCCAGAGCCCCCACGGCTCCTGACCACGGCTCTCTGGTTGGCTCTCGTGGGTCTGGGCCTACAGGTGAGCCCCTCAGGCCGACATCCTCTCCCTCATCTTGCTCAGGAGCTGGAGAGAGGCGGCTGGAAAGGCAGGGCACCCCGCAGGGGCCAGGCGGTCTCCAGACCAATCTGTGCGCTCTGTTCCGAGGGAGGCACAGGGCGCGCTGACTACAGGCCGCCATGTGCTGACCTGCTGCCTGCAGTCGCTGGCGCAGCGGCATGAGGGAGACCCCCCTGGCAGGGCGCTCCTGGGAGGATGGGGATGGCCTCCCACACCACGTATTTCACGTAAAACCCACCACATGCTCTTCTTGGCCACATCTCACCAGCCCCCGCCTGGCCCCCTTCACACAGGCCTGGTGCGTAGAGGCCCAGGCGGCTGTGGGAGCAGGGAGATCGGGAGGTGGACCCTGGTCCACATCCTGCTCCATCTCACTGCCCCTCGCGGAGTCGGCTTCCTCTTTCAAAGGGCGACAACCTTGGCTCGCCAGCAGCAGGAGGGTTACATGAAAGGATGCAGGATTCTGAGCTGACCAACTCTGTCTGCCTCACTCTCCTTCCAGAGCGCACAGCCCTTGGCCTGCTGAGCCGGGGCCCGGGAGTCTGAGCCTGAGTAACTGGGAGGACCCGGGGCCACAACCAGATGCCTCATCCTCTGCCTGCAGATGGGGCCGCTCTCAGGGAGGCGCACAGGCCAAGCAGGTGAAGCTGATGAGCCACCTCCCCGATCAGCCTGTCTGGCCACAGGCCGGGGAGGCGGGCAGGCGCCCACAGGACAGGGTGGGGTCTCCTTTCCTGGGGTTGCCCATGCCCACAAGGTGTGTGGGGGCTGCTTTCCAGGGTTGTGGTCCTCAAAAGTGGGCCAAGAGCTGGGTCCGGGGGCCTGGGACTTCCCTTCTGCCTCTGAGAGCCTGGGATTCCAGGGTCACTCCCGCCTCCGCTCGAGAACCTGGAGGGGCTCCCTAAGGCTTCTCAGACCCGTCTCACCCCCGGCGCCGCCTCACTACCCTGTTCTCGAAGGCTCGGAACCAAGTCCTTCCTCTGCGTTCCTTTCCTCAACAATCTGCTCG